CAGTAGGTCTTTTCCCAGCTGTGGGCTGCAGCCCCTCTGGGCTCCTTCAGCCCCTATCTCACACAGCAGGGTGTACCGAGTGACGGCACTCGGTTTCCACTGACATTGAATGGGCAGCTGTCACAAACCCAGGGATTTGTCTTCATCAAAATCTAATCAGTTAATCCATGACCCATACCCTCAGTTCATTACTTTGAGTTATACAAACCAACCAACCAACCACCATACAAAAGACCTTGGAAGAGGTAATTAGTCAGGTTTACTTTATATGACACAGTAAAATTACATCACTGTGAAATAATCCCAAAAGGAAATCTATGAATCATAGCTTATTTAATGTTAGATAGCATCATACCTTACTTTTAGAATTATTATGAATCCTCTTCTTTAATCTTTACAACTTATCTCAGGCACATTCTGCTCATTTTCTGTAACCCAGATACTCTCATTTTAATTTGCAATTTACTTTGGCACCACATCTGAATTACAGCCACTCTTCTAGTGAGTAACGCCAAACATTCTTGCCATTTGACCTGAATCAGAAGACTGAACATGTCTGACTTTCAGCCTGCTAATTTTATTGTTTCCTGTAACTCGCCACTGTCCTGACTAGCTGAATTATCAATGGCTTACTCACGGTGTGTGATAAAGACAGCGCTTGTTTGAATATACTTAGTGTTCTGGTCTTATCATTTCACAACCAAACCGTCCAGTAAAGGCTATTGTTTATTACTGAGCAAGAAAAGCAATAAGACAATGGTAGCTGTGAGATTTCTTGGCAGCAGTGTGGATTTTATGTTTTTATTTTATTTTAGTATGTGTAAATGCACCAACATTATTTACTTAATAAAAAAGGTGACATCAAGGTGTTACTGTAAAAACATGTACGGTGACTCCAAAATCTTTACTCCACATTCTTAATATTCTTTTCTTATATTCAACAGTTATACACCAGCCTTACATAAAAATGAAATTGGAAGAAAGCTATTGTAGTAGATATTTGAATTTCAATAGTTTTGAATTAATTTTACATATAAAAAGGAGGGACACAAACAAAACATTTAATGCAGAGCACAGAGATTTAGGATTTTGCATATGTACTCAGAATACAGAAATGATAGCTTTAGTAACACAAGCCACTGTATATAAATTTTAATATTGCAGATATTTTAGCAGGATACTTCCTCTATGTTTCTTTTTAATTGCTGTGGGACTGTACAGGGGCTGCACATCTGTAGTTGTTTGAAATGACTAATCTACGGTAAAAAGGAGCTGATAACAGATGTTACCCAGGCAACAAGCTTCCTGTACTCACCCAGTTCAAAGATGTTACTCAAAGGGTTACACTCTCAAGTGCCCAATGACTGCTACACCTTGGTGCACAGTTTGACATGACATCACAATTTCAATTGACAGCAATATTAGACAGATAATATTCAAATAAGACAGATGATTTAAAGTGGATGAGAGGAGCTGGTTTGATTGGCCACTACTACAGCCCACCCTGACTCCAGCTGCTCAAGATGCATTCCTCCCTCTAGCCCAAATGTATCTGGCTGCACCCAAAATGTGCCAATACCACTGGTCAATAACCCACACAGTGTTGTTGGACACATCCATATGTGTTGTTGCCTGGAGTTTAGACTTGCATTTACCCCTATGCCCCATTTCAGGAAGACAGAGGCCCAGGCTTTCTCATGATGCTTTAGAACGAGAGAAGAACCAAACCGTGGTTGACTCCTTGATAGAAAATGACAATGTAGTAGGTGCAGTAGAGTTTGGTCCAGCCACATCCAAAGCAATGCCTCTCTCCAGGGGTAAACACCTTCTCCAAAACATTGATAGATTCAGCACAAATATTAGCATGACTGCCAGAGCTGGTAGCGATAAGTACTGAAGACCTTTAAAAGATGGTGTTTAATGCAGGATGGAGCAACACTGGAACATCAGCACACTTGCAGTGAAATGTAAGAGGGACCCTGACTGAGTGTGTTTGGTGTCATCAGCTTAACAAATTTGATTTCCTCCTGTCAGTGACGTATTGAAATGGCATGATTTTTTTAGGTTGCTCTTCATGGCTGACACGGCCCACATCTACACTCATCAGCAAGGCCTGCTCTGGTCTGCACTCTCAGCTACTTTGTTCCAGCTGATGTCATCTAAACCTCGTCCCTGCAGCGTTGTCT